TTTTTAGCCTAAAACTTTTTTATTCGATAACCATACTACAAGCCTTTACCCGTTTTATAGTGACTCTCTCTTGGCACCCGAACTTTCTTTAGCACTCATGTGATTTAAATGGAAAAACATAAGTCTGGGGGAGAGACGAGGTGTTTAAAGATGGTCTCAAGGCACAAAAAGAGTAAAGGCAAAGAAAAAGAAAGGAAGAACTAAAGAAAAACACAAAAAAGTGAATAATGTGAAATGGTTGAAAAGATGCAAAAGAAAGCAAAAGTTCAAAGCAAGTATAACAAAGAAGGAAAATATGAATACCATGGCAAATAAAGAGTGATGTAAGTCCCTCTAATCCCCCTAAGGGAAAAGAAAATGACTCAAAGAGTCGGCAAAGTAAGAGCCAAAAAGAGAATATGAAGTGCTAAAGGGATGATGAACCAATTCCATTCCGATATTTCCCTCCTTAATCCAAAAGCCTTCATTACATGCCGAAAAAGCCCTATGTGATTTCAAATCAAGCGAGATTACATTAGTTGCGATCTACATGAGGGGCAAGCATATGGTACTTAGAGCCGGGCTTGTAATATTCTTTTGAGAGTAATGGGCGAATCTTTCTCGAGTCACTGAATTGAATTCTTCATTCGTGAGTGAGATGAGCTTCCAGAGAGTATAGGAGGAGGAGTTTGGGATTCACAATGACCTGCATGAAAATGCGAGCTTTTTTGATGAATAAAGTCAACCCTTGATGCTCAAGTGTCACATCAGAGCCATTTGTGCTTTAACATTCAGTTCATAGGCTTGTTAATGATTTATGAGCGTGTGGGTAATTGTTGGTCCCAATTGATTTGTGTTTGATTCAACTTAGCCCAGCTGAAATAGCCATTTTCTAGTGGAGGTGGGAAATTGCCTTAATTTCTTGAGGAAAAGAAAAATCTTAATTTTGGGGGAGTTGATAAGTAGGAATTTTGACCGCTTATTTGCTCTATTTTACTTACGTTTTAGCTCGAAAATACTTAAAGGTATTCCCGAGAACTAATAAAATGTGCTTTCTTGTAAGAATATTGGGAAATGAGCCAAAGAAGTGAAAATCAACTCAAAAAGGAGTAAAATTGGACAAGAACCAAAACAAGGCAAAAAGGGCTACAATGCGGCCGCAAACTCTAAAGATTCACTGATAGATTCTCTTCACAGAGTGCGGACCGCACAATTATTGTGCGGCTGCAGAAGAATAGATTCAGAGACCTTTAGTTTTGGGAGCTTGAAGATGTGCGGACCGCATCATTATTGTGCGGCCGCAGGATGCAAAAATGCGACCGCACTCACAAATGTGCGCTCCGCAAAGTGAAGCTCTGATCCAGTCCAAGCGCAAGGGTGCGGCCGCACTCAGAATTGTGTGGTCCGTACAATTAGAGAAAGTGCGGCAACATCTCACTTTTGTGCGACCGCAAAAAGACATACCTACCAGTCCGACTCAAAGTGCAAACCGTAGATAGAATTGTGCAGCCGCACAACCTTCGCATGGGCAATTTTGTCAGATATTTTTAGCTAGATATAAATAGATCTTTTTGTCATTTTTAGGAAATATTTTTTGCACCTGAACATTTAGAGCCATTTTTATTTACTGTATTGGGCAACTTTATACTAGTTTAGCATTTAAACATTAGATTTTCTTTCCTTAATCAATTATTATGCATTTTATCTTAGTATCTTCTTTAATTTCTTTATTGTCCATGAGTAGCTAAATCCTTAGCTAGGGTTGTGATCGAACCCTAGTATGGGTACTTAATGGGTGATTGATTTAGGGCTTATTTGTGATAGGGTATATAAATTTTAGCCTAGTTCTTGCTTGAATTTGAGAATTGATGGTTGCAAACATTAATTCATGCCTAATTGACTTAGTCTATACTTGAGAAAGTGAGACTAAGTCTAGAAAAACTTGGCTAACAAGAAATTGGGATGAACTCAAGAAATTGATAGCCCCAATTAAAGGGTTGAATCTAGAGATAGTAAGACCCGACTTGAGCATTTATCACTTGTTTCGTGAGATACCCATTTGGACTTGAGAAAGCCGAATTATGTAAAATCACTCAAACTACTGAGAGGTATAGAGTGAGTAATTACGTGTGATTGCTATATTGTATCCCGATCAACCAAACATGCCCTGAAGCTCTAAATCCGTTAGGTAACCAACTAGGCGGAAGTCGCAATTACTAAAACCAAACCAAAAACATTATCTCTTAGCTTTACAATTACAAACCTTAGCGTAAAAGTAAAAGTAGAAACAACAAATAAAAATGTGAAAGTGTAATCTTAGGCACGTCATACATTCACACTAGGTATATACCTAATCCCACATTAAGCTCCATGTGAAATCGACCCCGACTCGCGTTAGATTTTTATTATTACATCGACCGCCTCGCAACCTAAATTAATAGTGTGAGTTTGGGCGATATCAGGTTGCATAAAGGCTACGCTACCCTAGAGCCCACCAGGGTTATTTGAAGGCTACTCTACCCTAAATTCTAGCTCACGCCTATAAAAAGGGGTACATATTTGCTTAAGAAGATATCTCAAAAATTTCATAAACTTATGAAATATTCATAAATAAATCAAGGTGTGATCTAACACTTCTTGATAACCAAATACTTCAAGCCACAACATCCTATCATGGAGATCAAATATATCTCAAGAAGGTATGCATCATCTTATATTCGAGAAACACGTTGTTCCAACCCTCAAATCACGGAGAATAATCCGAAGAGGAGACTCAAGAAAACAAATAAAATTGTACTCATAATTGATTAATTAACTTACCTTTTTCGTGATTGCAACTTATTTTTTGTGTGTTAAAAAATTACTGCAAACAACTCTATTCACACTTTTTTTAAATATTAAAATAGCCACCATTATGGTGTAGGGTTTAAGGCTATGACAACCATCATTATGTCGTAGGTTAGGGTTTATTTTTAGTTTTGGTATTACTCCATGTGAAATGAGTTTGACCTACATTGATTGATGGTAGAAGGGTCACCAAAACTCGTTAGCCTCTACAAAAATACTATATATATATATATGTGAATACAATGTAGGTTTATAAAAATAACCTTATAATATTAAATATAGTTACTCATAATAAAAGGACATAACCGAAATTCTAGACATTAGCCTTGTAACCCTATCAGGTTTAGGATATAATACTACACGTTAAGAACCATATTAGTATAATTACTTTCTAGCATTTACGTTAAAAATTTCTATTACTAATTTAATTTGAAAACGTATTATGATGTCCTATTACTAATGTAATTTGAGAATGTATTATATTGTCCAAATCCATTTAGAAAAATGAGAGCCTATATTATTACAAAAGCACGAATACAACATTGATAGACCAAAATAGTCCTAAATACTAACTAGAAGAACTCATAGATAAAGGATATAACTAAAATAACCTCTCTCTTTTTTACTACAAGACCTTCTATTTTAATTTTTTTAATATTTAAGATTTTTAAATTAATAAAATTTTGTCTATTAAATTCTTATTAAAAATATGTAGGAAGTTTTAATAAAATCAATTCCATAAGAATCCTCTATATTGGCAGTACATTACCACTCCATAATATCCAATACAAATTTTTTTTATAAAAGTAATATTAAATGGATTGAATAAAGCGTTGAAATTGAGAAAAAAATATATCTTCATAATATATTTTTATATTATATTTGAACTGTTTTCTACTCAAATAATATATTTTTAATTAATTTTTTGTGTGATATCAACAACTAAGAAAATATTTAAGAATATAAATATGTGAGAAAGAGAAAGAAAAATAGTTGGTAAGAGTCAATATTGAATATCAACGAAACCATTTGGTGAAAAATTAATGATTTGAAAGGTGATTTCTGTCAAGTATTACCAATAGTTCCAAAATCGACGAAAGCAGAGATTGTAAAACAAGCTTGCCAAAATTATATTTATGGCGTCAAATGAAAAAAATTCAACTGACAAGAAATATAAAGTAAGAACAGATCCATTGTTCAATGACTTCTTGCTTCGTATCGGAAACGAAGAACATCATCTAATAAAAGATGATTTCGTAATAATAGTACATTTAATAAGAGAAATATTTTTATCATTATATTAAAACGCAATTTGTGCTAATTGCATGATAGAAATTTAAATGTTATCTTAGCTAGCAGAAATGAATATATTGATCAACTACAATTATCCCAAACCGTAGCTTATCTCGCTCCACTAAAAAAAATACAAACCTTTCTCCCTTCTTTCAACAATCATTTTGACAAAGTCGCGTCATTGATAGACTTCAACTTGACGACATGAGAGTTTGTACTGTGCTAATAAAGTATCATAATTAAATTTTTAACAAGTTATACAACTTTATCGCTAATAATTGGTATATTTAAAAATAGTGGTGCATCCGTCGCGCTCAAATCCTTGGTCTGCCTCTGCATGTGAACTATTATAAAATGTCACGTCAGCTTTTGGCAGCCGGAACTTAGACAAATCCGGCCAAGTGATTTCTGGTGTGGTATAGGTGTAGAATACTAGACTTTTCTGTTAAAAATAAATATGACTTTACTATATAAATTTTTATAGGTCAATTTTAAGCAATAAACTGCATTTACTTGTGTAGAGATCATAAATCTATGAAGCTGTGAAACTGTTCCTAAAAATATGGCATCTGCTGGTTGTTCCAACTCGGGTGCTACAGAAATTTGGGCATTTTCATGTATATGAACAAACTTCTACTTCTTCACACCCCCCTTTTATTTTTGGGGTTGTCAATTCGATTCTATTTGCGAGCAAAATACCATTTGGTTCGGAAATCCTGATCCCACATATATTAGGATTTGAAGCACACGTGAGTTCGAAAAATATAGAAAACACACGTGGACCGTGATATGAATCCCAAAAGGATTAGGAAATTCATGAGAGCCTATAAATAGGGATAGTCCGTCCGTAGAATAAAACTTTTTATTACGAGTACAATAAGATGGGAAATTGGTCAAATACTCCAGAGGTGCTCTTAGTTATAATTGCTGAAAAACTAAAAATGATTGAAGATTTTGTTGCATTTAGGGGAGTGTGCTCCAGTTGGAGATCCGCCGTCCCTAAGGAGAATTTCACCGGAATTACACAACTTGCTTGTGCAGTGCACGCTCGTAACGTTGTCACTCTCTCAAAGTCCGCCATCCACCACCTGCAACACCGCCCTCAAACAACTCTAGAAATCCAAACTGTATCAAATAAATGGAGACGACTAGGACAATGGAATAAGTATTATTATAAGGAGCGTTACTTTGCATCCAAGGGATGGCTATTCGCTATAGGCCGACACGGAGACACGTGTCTGTTCCATCCCTTTTCTCGTGCCCAAATAAGGTTACCTCATGTAAGGACTCTCCCTGAATGTGATGAAAAGGACTTGATCATTGAGGCTGTCTTGTCCTCAAGCCCTTCTTCTTCTTCTTCTTCTTGTTCGTGTTTAAATAATTACGTTTTGATTATCCGTTACGATGGATGTATATCGAGTGGTTTGGCTTTTTGGAGACCTGGAAAGGATGTTTTTACTGAACTAAAAAATTACGAACCTGAGTTGCAGTGGTTTGCCATTACTTGCTGCAGCAACGGGAAGCTTTATGCCTTAGACGCGGGTGGGACTATTGTGGTTTGGGACATGAAGATCGGCAGCAATAATAATAATAATAAAGATAACGACGATGTTCCAGTTGTGGAATTAGTCATAGAATCACCGTGTGTTGATCATAGCTCATTTTACGTTGATCCTTGGCTCATGTTACTAGTGGAATCTGATGATGGGGAAGTATTCACTGTTGCAAGAGATACTTTCAGAGATAATTATATCATTCATCGAATTGATGTAAACAATAAAAAGTGTGTTCGAGTTAAGGACATGGGAAACAGAGCACTCTTCTTTGGTCTTCGTGCTCGGGTCGGGTTTTTTATGGAACCTTCTGAGATACCAACATGTGTGTCTAACCATATCTATCTTGATGAGAGAAGGATATATTACAAAAGATATCTTCTTGAAAACACTGATGAAGACCAAGATAAACATTCGCGTAGGGCGGCTAAACCTGGTATTTATAGCTTTCCAAACGGACCCCTTGCTCCATTCAAGCGCAAGCGCCACAACGCCAGCTAGTCTATTCTGTATCAATTGATGAATAAGTACCAAGTACTGCTGCTACTACTTTCCATGTGCGTTTTTAACCTTTCTTTGACAAGTTTAAGGAAATATTAATTTAGTTTGTGATTCTTTGAAATTGTTCATCATATCCTGTTTATTAAGTGAATTTGCTTATACATAGCTTAACCGTTCCAACGAAAGCTGAAATATATCCTGCTAAATTGATTATGAATTTTATCGAGTCTATTTTAACACACAAAAGTGCAATCTGTTTTACCCATTAAACTACAAAATTGAGCTCAAAACTTATCAATTCATTAGTGCCTTTTACTTTTGAAAAGCACTGGTCGCTACTCTCTACCATTTGGACTCTTTAGTACCGCATAGGCTTTTGGTTGGTAGTGTCTGATTATGCTAAAAATATATGGTGTTTTTTTCTTTAAAAAAAATTAAGCCGCCTTGTAGAGGCAAGGGTAGGCATAGACCCTACCTCGTAGACAGGGGCGGAGCTACAGTAGTGGGTGCGAGTTTGGGCGAACCCAGTGACTTTTTCCGGAACCCTGTATTTATATTAAAATATTTACTAAATCTATATAAATATATACTGCCTAACCCAATAACAAAAGGGGTCTTGGTTCAATGGTAAGGGTAGTGGGTTTGCTGGAAAAGATGAGGGTTCGATTCCCCCTGGAAACAATATTTTATTTTAAAATTTAGAACCCACACACTTAAATCCCTCGCTCCGCCTCTGCACGTAGATAAGGATCCAAAAGTGATTACAAAAAGGAGGGGACAACAAACCTTTACCTCCACAAAAATCATGATGTGAATTAGGCATTCCCAATTCATTTACCAAAAACAGAAACTGCCTCAATAATATCTTTGTGATGTAATATATAGGATCATATGAAGAATAGTCTCTTGGATTGCCTAATCCTAAAATTTGCAATTTGTTCCCTGTCGAGATGAAATTCTCCCATATACTGGGCTGGTAGTTCTTGAACATTGTAAAACCAATTAACATCACTAATATCAACCCCTTCATTATATCTACAAGTTTATTTGTTAAAAGATATACCAAAATTAAGATTCTATGTAAGTTGATGTGAAAGAAAAATTTGGGTAGTCTCGGTGTTAGTCACTGTATAGTGTACTTGAATTTGTTTTGTCTTTCAAAGTAGTCTACACGAACAGTTCATTTCAATATTTCTAAATCAGAGCTCTCTGTTCGCTGAATTCTTCGCCATGCCCAATTGTCTGATGTTATTGTTATTGCTGTTTCATTGTAATTGGAGCTCCAATATAATGTGAAATAGAATAGTGCAGTTGAATGTTACTCCTTTGCAAGTTTCAATTAATATGCAATTTCAAGATCATAAAAAAGGTTGCAACTTTTTGGGATCATTTTTGTATTTCGTTTTAATCAATTGCCTCAGATAAGTTTTGGCAGTGGCTGTAAAGGGTATCTATCTATACCTCATGTTGCAGGTAGACATCTAACAACCTTGCCGCTAGGATGTTCACGGTTCGATTTGGTTGGGTTTTCATCTAAATTGAAACCAAACTCACTACATCTTTTTATAAAATATACAAATCAAACCAGGGCAAATCAAATAGAGTCCATTTTTTGTTTGACTCTCAAACAAATTGGACCGAGGGAATACATGTTTGGTTTGCAGCATAAGATGTAGAATACATGTATTAAACTTTGTGTTAGTTAATATGTTGTTTGGTTGCTTATTTTTGTTTCCCAATAAACTCTGCATTAGTGTCTCTCCGTAGATCGCTCGTGTTTGTTCGTAGTTATAATGCATGGAATTTCTCTTTTTGTATGATCCGACCGAGGTTTGAAATCGAAAGTAAAATTAGCACGAGCTAGCCAGTTTTCGGACTGGTAATTGAAAAATAGTCAACGTCTGCAAAGTCATTAAAAATAGCTATTATTTTGCTGAAACACGGAAAGTTCCAGCATAATATACTGGATTATGGAGCTACTACATATAAACTTCCAGCATATTATGTTAGAACTATAGCACACGAAAAGTTCCAGCATAATATGCTGAATTATGGAGTTCATGCGTATAAACTTCCAGCATATTATGTTGTAACTCCAGCATATTATGAAATTCCAGCACATTTTGCGGAATCTCACATGTAAAAAAATTGAAGTGCAACATATTATGCTGGAATTTTCTGAATTTTTAAGGGTGTGTTTGTTCAGATTTTATCTTTACATAAAAAGTAGCTAAATTTCGATTAATTTTGAAAAAACATGATACTCACTTCTCAACCTGGACAATCCTAATAGTATGAAATCACAGAAAAATAATCAAGAACAACAGATATAATAATAAGGTGCAAAAATCAGAGGTAGGATAAGCATGCTCCTCAAACGAGATAACCAGAACATAGTTCAATTGCTAAGTCATCATATAAAGAAGCACTAAATAGCACCTATATGAATGCTTCTACATGAATCTAGAATGATCATGCATGCTCAACACTCAATCATAACCAATAGCCAGCATATTCCATGTGCTCCAACATGATCCAGTACATCCCACATGCTCAATACGATACACGTATCACCTGCGCTCATAGGGCCCAACGTAATATGGGTAATCACCTAACTTTGGAGGGACAGATCGATATCCAAGTACTGCACAGAGATCTATCGTACCATAATATATCAATATCACAATAACTACATGGTATAAACCATCAGCTATAACAATATCAATCCACTCAAATGTCCAAATGTGTCATAATGATATCAATCCGTATTAACATCTCTATCTCTAAGGATGTATGCATATGCTCAGGAAGTAATCAACAACATGCACAAGGACATAATAAATAAAGATGTGAATGTGTGCTCAGGATCTAAAGTATGACTACGGCTAAAACAGTATATCAATATTTAAAATAGCCCATCATGCCCAAATAAGATGTCATAAAATAAACTATTATTTCTAACATGAACAAATAGGCTCACATAGTTATACAATCAAATAAAACATAAGTCAAGAAGAATACACAACCAAGCAAGACATAAAGAAACCTAGAATTCCAAATATGATATAGCTTTATTGTATGCATATACACTCTTCACCTTGCATATATGTCACCCCTAAATCAAGTAGCATATAGATATTTAGGAAAGGTTACTTTCTTCTTTCTCTATCGTGCGACTTTATTTCATCCTAAAGTTTGAATCTTTACTCTTCTATTCTCTAAAAAATGGTGAGAACATGTGCATCAGAAGCGGTTGAACAGGAGCTAGCGCCCTAGGTTGCAGCTGCTATTCGAGGTAAATGCTAGTGCAGAGGTAGGGCTAGACCCCAGACAAGGGCACGTGCAACAACACCTAGAGGTGGAACACCCGCAGCTATTCATGCTCGTGCTAGACCAATTTCTGAGGAGCCACCTATAGCTTCAGAAGGGTACCAGGTTCCAGATCAAGTTGTTCCATCGGGACCTGCCCAGGTTCTTGAGATTTTCTTTTCTACTCCAGCGCTTCAAAATACCATAGTCCAAATTATGAGTTATTTCGACAGTTTGGCACATGACGGGATGGTTCCTATAGTTCCAACTACTTTTCAGACTGGAGAGGAAGAACACACCCCAACTACTCATATTTCAGAGCATGCCACTGCTATGTTTCAAACTTCAGGGGTTCCGATTATTCCACCGATTGGGGCAGTTCATTCTATTGTTGTGATTAGGTAGAGGTTAAGCATGTTATGTTTGTTAATAAGCAAAAGATAATGGATCAGTTCTAGAAGTTAGATCCTCCACGTATTGGTGGTGATTCCACAGTTTATGCTACGGATTTCTTGGGTAGGTGTCATGAGATTTTGCGCAACTTGGGTCTTGTGAAGTTCAATAGAGTTGATTTCACTACTTTCCAATTTAGAGTGCCAACCAAGAGGTGGTGGAAGACTTATGACAGAGAAGGTCCGGAGGGTTATTTTCTCTTACTTGGACTTAGTTTTCTACTCTATTTCTAGAGAAGTTTATTCCTCTCACCAGAAGGGATAAGTTGCATGGTCAGTTTGAGCATTTGCAGTATGATAGTATGGCAGTCACTCAGTATGAGATGAGGTTTGTGAAGTTTTCTTGTTATGCAGCTTTCTTGATGCCCACCGAGACTGAAAAGGTAATGAGGTTCAATGAGGGGATTAATTTTGGAATTAAGCTCAATATGGATAGAGAGATAGAAATCGAGACTACTTTCTAGCAGGCAGTGGAGATAGCACGAAGGATTAAGCGCATTCATGATCAGGGAAGAGACGCGGTGAAGGATAAGAGGCCTCGTCATTTAGGAGGATTAAATGGTGCCTCGTCTGAAGGCAAGAGTTATTTTGGTAGAGGCTACTCTCATAGGCCAGTTCACTTAGCACTTCTGACTTCTCATAGTACTCCGATCATTCATAATTTTCATGGTGTCATTCAAGGAAGGCATCGTACAGTACGTCTCCATCTTATAGTTCGTATAGTGGCATTCTGGTCGTTAGGGCTAGACTCAGCCCCAACAACCATACCAGTAAAGTGGTTTCTATGAGTGTGGAGATTTCAGACATCTTAGGCGAAATTTCCCAAGGCTTCAAGGAGGTTTGTCTTAGGGTACTCAGGCTATGATTCCAGCCTCAGTTGTTGTCACGACCCAAACTCCATTAAAGGTCGTGATGGCGCCGAACACAGCTGTCAGGGAAGCCAAAAAATAAATACTTAATTTGGTTCTCATTTTAATATTTTTGAAATCATATTTCCTTCAATTAAATAGTAACAAATGGAATTTACAGAGTAAATAATAATATTTTTCTTTTTAACAATTTCAATACAGGACAACTCATAATCACCCCAAAACCCGGCGTGACAAGTACATAAACATCAACTAGGAATGTAAAATAAAATGCAACACCTGTCTACAATACAATTTAGATAGGAAATACATAAGTAACTCTGAAGGAGACTCTGCTGGCTGCGGATCATAATATAGAATACTGCTCACC